GCAAAAATTTTCCCCCTCTTCATGATTCGTTCTCCGTCTTGGCTCCCCTTCCCATTTATACTCTGTTAAGTGCTAAACGCAATTTCTTCTCCCCCAAAACTTTTTAATCATGGGAACTCTTTATCCTTCCCTTTCCACTTTTCCCGGTCTTTCAAATCTCAAAAATTCTCTCCGTCCCTTAGACATCAGCTTACCTTCCGCCAGCTAACACTCTTCGCACTAATCTCGTTTACCTTTCCCCTCCCCACAGATTTTCCTGGTGTCTCCCTTATTTCTTGCCCTCCGCCCTTAAATTCTTCGGAGAAACTGGTCGATCTCTTTTGAAGATTTAGGGGCACAAAAAAAAATGTTAGGTTGCCGACACTAACAATGTCTTTTTGTACGTAGAGATCATAGCCACCCTATTGCTGGTCTTCTCTAAACTGTCTTCCCTATTTCCAACTCGAACAGTCGCCGTCTATTGAACCCTCTCTAATACCCTTTTTCCTTGTATGACCCTTAGCCTGGCTTCATTTGAATCCTTTCCCTCCCCCATATATTGAAAAAATGCTCCAAACTCAGAACACCCGTGACAACTAAATTTCCTCATTTTTTCTTTTTCTTTTTTTCTTCTTTCCCCCTTTTCCTTTTTCCCTTTTTTCCCCTTTGGGTTGTCTTTCTCTCCCCTGTCTCGTGTTTTGTTCCTTCTTTCATTTATTTCACAAATTTCCCCCCTTTCACGCACCTCTGTGCGCTTTTCCCCCTCTGGGGAAATCTAGCTCCTTGCGTGCCCCCCTTCCTTTGTTTTTGACTGGTCGTCTCCTTATTTCCCACTTTACCATTACCATACTACCCCCCCCTTTCTACTATACTATAAACTTGATGAAATTAAGACACATGTGCGGCGTCTAGTTGTTTTTTTGTGGACTTTTCCCCATCCAGTGGTGGCGGATGGCGAAACGTTCGAGGGGGTGCCCGGGTGTTGTGCAGTGTCTTATTTCATTTGTCGGTATTATATAAAATTCTTGTACTACCATACTTACTACCTCCACCTCTTCCCCCCCTATTATACCCGCCCTGCCCACCTTGGTTAGTGTGACTTTTTCGTGGTCCAAGTCGGACGAAACGTATCGAAGCTCCCCTTTATTTATGTGCATTTTTTTTTGTACTGAGGTAATGAAAAAAAACTGGGACTTTTTGACAAAAAAAAGGGCGAAAACCGAATCGACGAAAACCAGGGTAAATGAAAACGGAGGCTCCTTGTTAAGCTAAAAATGAAAAAAATTTCAAGGTAAGTAATGTGTGTACTTTGTATGCATTTTTTTTGGTTTGCTCTATTTCTTACTAATACAGTGGACCCCGGGGGTTAAAGATTTTTTTCATGAAGTATGTTCAGGTGCCGTATGACCCAATTTGGTTCCCCTAAAGGGAAAATTTTGAAAATAGATTAAACCCTTTTGACCCCAAACATACACGTAAAAAGACTTTCATAAAACACTTACATAATTGGTGCATTCGGAGGTGTCGTTATGCGGGGGTCCACTGTCTGTATTGATAGGTAACTGTTTCAGGCTTTTTTATGCATCTGAAAATAAAAAAAAAAAAAAAGGGGTGTTTCACCCTTAAAACGTAGCCGAACTAAAAACCTGCTGTGTAAATGAGGCCTGCCTGTACAATTTTGGGAAAAGAGTTAAAAACAGCCCTTAAGTAACCTTTCAACATATCATAAAACTGGCTTGTGCCAAAAATGTGGAAAAAAGGCAAAAATTTATACCATTTTCAAAGATGGGGGACAGGTCCCTTTGCTTTGAACTATAGCCAAAAGCCTAATTCAATAGTGGGAAAAATTTTTGGAATCAATAATTGCCAAGGGAATATAGCATCTCGAAAGGGTTAAAAAGAATAATGAATCTCGGCATGGTTTTACAAAAGGGTTTTTTTGCCTTAAGAATTTTAAAGTTTTTCCTAAAGGGATTTGCAGAGGTAATCATGGTAATGAAAATTTGGGATTTTGATATGGACTTTTAAGGCTTTTTAAAAGTCCCATCCGAGATAATGAGGAAAAATTAAGGGATAGGATAGGAGAAATTTTTTTCTGAATAGGGCGTGGCTGACGGTAGGCGGAGAGTTTGCATAAATGGGGGAAAAACGAGTTTGGAAAGCGGGCAGAGCTGTGTTCCCAAGGGTCGTGTTGGATCCCTTGTTGTTCACAATCTACATAATGACATTTATGAGGGATAAATAGCAAATGGGCAAATTTTTCCCTGAACCCAAAAAAGGGGGCCCTTTTAATTCATTCAGGAAAATGTGAATAGACGAAGCATGGTCGGAGAAATGGGGTACAGTTTAATATAGACAAAAGCAAAATTGTAAACATTTGACAGGAAAATAAACCCTGTCACATATAAAAATAAATAATGTAGTAGATCTTAAATTCATGGGACCTAGTTTCGAACAGTCCCCCCCCGAAAAATTTTGAAGTGTATTTTTAGGGATCGAAAGGACTAACTAATTTCATTTTCCTTTTAGAACAAAAATTTTTTGGTTCGGCACTCGAAAAAAGCTTCTGGGAAGAATTAAGTTTTTAATCAAGGTACCACTACATTGGAAAAAAATTAAAAAAACATATGCAGTTAATTTTGATCCCTTATTGAAACGTTTACCCAACGTGGGGTTTTTAAGTACACACAGATCTGTGTGTGACTTGAAAAAGCCCCTGTGTGGGTGAAACGTTGTCAATAAGGACAATTATATGCATTTGGTTTTTATTTCCCCTGTGTCGGTATTTGATACCATTTATTTTCCCTGTACCCTGCATTCTGATTGCGAAAAAAGGTTTTGGGAGTTTGGGTTTGCGTAATCTAAAAAGAAAACAACAGTGCATAAAATGTTTTTCGTTTAAAAGGAAGAAAATCCCTTGGTTCACGTCAGAAGCATAAAAAATAGGGAACTTAGGGTTTTTCAGTTCTATGTATCTTTGGTTAGGCCATTAGATTATGCTACACAGTTTTTGGTCCGTATTATGATTTATTTATTTATTTATTTAAAAATTTGTGCACACATACAGAGGTACAAAAAATACAGAAAAGAGCAGTATGCCAAAGCCACTTATACTATGCATAGCATTACGGGCTGGCTTTAAAATTAACTTAAGATGAACTAAGCAATGATGACATCGGTGATAAAACTTTAATGTAAACAGATTACTATAAAGCACAGTGAGTATTACAAAGACAGGTCATATGGTTGTATGCATTGTTGTACATTCAGTAGTAATGGAGTATTCTGTTAGGTAGTGTATTTAAAAAATTAATAAAGTTAGATTGGGTTTTAGGTTTAACATTTATGTGATATAATTGTGAGAAACATTTAAGATATACAATTTATAAGGTTCAGTTATTCAGTATTTATTTGGTTTTGGGTGGAGTAAGTGATCTTTTAGAAGGAGACTTGAATTTATAAACAGGTAGTGTTTCTTTTATATTTACAGGTAATGAGTTCCAGATTTTAGGGCCTTTTATGTGCATTGGAGTTTTTGCATAGTGTGAGGTGGACACGAGGAACATCAAGAGTGATCTGTGCCTTGTGTTATGGTCATGTGTTCTGTTGAGGTTGGCAAGGAGATGTTTGAGGGGAGGGGTTAATATCAGAGTTAAGTGTTCTATGTATGTAATAGGTGCAGTAATAAGTATGAATGTTTTGTATGGTGAATTGGTTTAGTGTATTGAATATTGGTGGGTGTGCTGCCTATAGTGAGAATTTGTTATCATTCTAACTGCAGCCTTTTGTTGGGTAATTAGTGGTCTGAGATGGTTACTTGTTGTTGAGCCCATGCACAAATTCATTGGTGAGATAGGGGTAAATAAGAGAGTGATATAGGGCCAGGAGGGCTGACTGTGGAGCATAGTACCGTATCTTCGATAGTATGCCTACAGTCTTGGAATTTTCTTAGAAATTTGTTGTATATGTGTATGAAATTTGAGTCTATTATCAAGGTGGATTCCTAAGAATTTTCCCTCTGTTAGCTTTGTGATAGGTGATCCGTTTATCATTATGTTAAGAGGGACATCTGTAGCTCTGTTACCAAACTGAATGAAGTAGGTTTTGTCAATGTTTAGTGTAAGTTTGTTAGTCCTCATCCAGGTAGATATTTTCGTAATTCTGTATTTACAGTATTGGCTAGCGTGACTGGGCTCGGGTGGGAGAAGACGTTGTAGTGTCATCTGCAAATAGTGTGGGTTTGAGTAATTGTGAAGCATTTGGTAGGTCATTTATGTATAGGAGAAAGAGAAGAGGGCCAAGGACACTTCCCTGTGGGACACCAACTGTAATTGGTTGTGCAGAAGAGTTTGCCCCATTTGCATACACATATTGGCTTCTGTTGCTGAGGTATGACTTGAGGTAGTTGAGGGAGTGCCCTCTTATACCATAGTGTGACAATTTTACGTGGAGCAAATCATGGTTAACTGTATCAAAAGCTTTACGTAAGTCAATGAAGATCCCCAGTGGGACTTCTTTTTTCTCTATTGCAGTGTATATATCAATGGATTTGTTAAAGAGTGTTGCAATGATTGGTGATAGCACTTGTGACACTTTTTTGTATATAAAGGGTGGTAAGGTATTTAAATCTCCTGCCTTGTTTTTTAGCGTGTTGATAATAAGGGAGACTTCGTATGGGTTAGTCGGAGCTAGGAACAGTGTGTTCGGGTAGTTGCCAGTGAGGTAGTCATTTGGTGGGGTATCTGAGCTTGGGATTTTATTGGCAAGGTTTTGTCCTATAGTGGAGAAGAAGTCATTGAGTCTGTTTGCTGTTTCTGTTGGTGGGAGTTGGGGTTCATCTGATTTTGCTAATTTATTTCGCTATTTCGTGATATCTTTTTTGTTCCTAGAATTTCTGATAGGGTTTTCCAGGTCTTTTTTTATATCACCTCGTAAGTTGGATAATCTGTTCTCATAATACAATTTTTTTGCCCTTCTTATCAGGCTGGTTAGGTTGACGAGTAACGTTTTGTTTGGTCTCTGGTTATGTGACCCATTCTGTACTGTTTTTCATATTGGTGTTTTGTATTTATGGATTTGAGAATGCTGGGTGTTAACCAGGGACTGTTCAGTCTCTTAGCTGTCATCTGTTTAGTTTTTTTAGGGCAGTGCTTGTTATAGAGGTATTGGGTCTTTTTTAGAAAATTATTAATACATTCGTCAATATCTGTATAGATTTCTAGCTCAGTGTGCCAGTCAATGTTTGCTACTGCTGTTGTGAAGTTATTAATGGCTGCCTCATTGTGAAGTCTGAAGGTGACTTTAGTAGTGTCTTGGGGTAATTTACCAAGAGTTGTTATGAGAAAAGTAGGGTAGTGGTCTGTGGTATTATCTGTAATTATGCCTGATTTTAAAGGGGATATGGTGTTGGTCCAGATGTGGTCAAGTAGGGAAACACTAGTCTAGAATGGATATAAATGCACTGGGAAACCTTGAGAATAGACTGAGTGCTCTGAAGCTGTGTTCTCTAGAAAGGCATAGAATTAGGGGGGATATGATTGAGGTGTATAAATGGAAAATGGGAATAAATAAAAGGAATGTAAATAGCATGCTAAAAATATCTAGCCGCCAAGAGAGGACTTGCAGCAATGGCTGTAAGTTGGAAAAATTCAGATTCTGGGCAGTGGCTCACTGAACACTAAGTCGTATTGAGATTTGAGTACATATTTCACTCATTTCTTAGCTGCCATCTGTGTATGTCCCATCTTGCCTAAGCAGGGGCCCAATACTGGATGTTGTTTTTCCCTTAGATTTGGCATAAAAAAAAGATTTTTTTTTTTCAGTTTCCTTGATGGGTTTTAGTTCTTCATGCGATTCTTGTCTCCTGTAAGATTCCTTCAGCTTAAGTTCTATATTTGCAGTTTCATTGACCAGTGCCTCCCTTTGTATTTCAGATATATTGACCCCCTCAGCAGCTTGGCGACTCTTCGCTTTTGTCTGTACAGTGCACCCCCGCGTTTCGTTGGCAGCGACTTTCGTGAAATCCGACTTTCGGCACGTTTTTTTGGCAAAATTTAGCTTCGCTGTTCATGATTGGACTCGTGATTCAGCGATCGTCCGGTACATGTCCGCCCATCACCGTGCACACAAAGCCAGTCTCCCGCACCATTCACACTCAGTGTGCCATTGTTTACCAGTGCGTGACCATCACCCGCGGGTTCATACAATACATTTCATAAACATCCATTGTTTTTTGTGCTTGCAACTGCTCAATAAGTCGCCATGGGCCCAAGGAAAGCTAGTGCAAGCCCTTTGGTAAAGAAAGTGAGGAACACGATCGAATTCAAGAAGGAAATAATTGAAAAATATGAGAGTGGAGTGCGTGTTACAGAACTTGCCAGGATGTATGGCAAACCCCATTCAACCATCACTTCGATCGTGGCGAAGGGAAAGGAAATAAAGTGTGCTGTTGTTGCAAAAGGGGTAGATATGCTGACAAAAAAGAGATCACAAACCCTCGAAGAAGTGGAAAGGTTATTGTTGGTGTGGATTACCCAAAAACAGTTAGCAGGAGATAGTATTATGCAGTCGATAATATGTGAAAAGGCAAGGCAGTTGCATAATGATCTCGTAAAGAAAGTGCCTGCAACGAGTGGTGATGCTTGTGATTTTAAGGCTAGCAAAGGTTGGTTTGAGAGATTTAAGAAGCGTAGTGGCATACACAGTGTGGTAAGGCATCATGAGGCTGCCAGTTCTGACAAAAAAGCAGCTGAGAAGTTTGAAGAGCTAACCACTGCAGAGCTGCAAGAACTTCATCTGCAACAGCAAGAGATCACAGCTCAGGAAATTGCTGCAGAGGAGGAGGAGGAGAGATGGAGGAAGGTGCCTTCTTCAAAGATTAAGGACATTTGTGCAAAGTGGACTGAAGTGCAATTATTTATGGATGAACTTCACCCTGACAAAGCTGTTGCAGGCCGTATTGGCAACATGTACAATGACAGTGTTGTGTCCCACTTCAGACAAATCCTAAAGAAACGCCAGAAACGGAGCTTTCTGGACAGATATTTTGTGCGACAGGGGTCCAGTGACTCTCAAGTTGATCCCAGTGGCATTAAAAAACGAAGAAGGGAAGTAACCCCAGAAAAAGACTTGGCACCTGAAGCTCTAATGAAAGGAGATTTTCCTTCCAAACAATAGTATACTACACCTTCCTCCTGTCCCCTCCTCCCGTCTTCCATCCACCCAGAAGTATTCAGTAAAGGTAGTGTAATATTATTATTGTATGTATGTATGTACTTGATTTCTTACTGTTTTCTGAATGTAAATCTTTATTTAATTTGAAAAACTTTTTTTTTTTTTTTTAATATTTTTGGGCGTGTGGAACAGATTAATTTTATTTCCATCATTTCTTATGGGGAAAATGGTTTCGCCATTCGGCAATTTCGTTATTCGGCAGACTCTGGAATGGATTAATCATGAAACTCAGGGGTCCACTGTATAGGGAGCGTCTCTCTCTAGTTTGCATCTTCTCTTTCTTTTTCTTAGCCCTTAACCCTTTCAGGGTCCAAGGCCAAAATCTGAAGTGGTGCCCCAGTGTCCAAGAATTTAAAAAAAAAAATTGTTATTTTTTCTTATGAAATGGTAGAGAATCTTTTTGTGAATGTAATAAAACAAAAAGTATGAAATTTGATGGAAAATTGACGAAATTATGCTCTCGTGAATTTTGGTGTGTCAGCGATGTTTACGAATCAGCGATTTTGCCGACTTTGACTCCCATTTTAGGCCAATTACATTATTCCAGTCGACCAAATTCTTAGCTATTTCACTAGTATTACTTCTATTCTAACGATTGAGCACAAGAAATCGCCAAGTCAACTGTTTCAACTACAAAATAGTGACCGGAAATTGGTAATTTGGCCAATTTAACACAAATTTCAAAATATTCCAATTTCAAAATAGGGTCCAGAATAAACAATGTAGGTATTCCTGGAACTAAACTAACATTTCCTCTGTTCATTAGTTATGTTTTGAGGCTTTACAAATAAATTCTATTTTGATTTTTTATTCACATAATGAATTTTTATTCACACCAAAAAATAGAAGATTTACTGTTATGCAATATTGTAATAATTGTATAAATATCATCACCACATTTGTGAATGTATATTAGACCCACCTGCTGGCATGTATTAGACGTGTGAGGTCGTTTGTTTACTCTTGAACATCGGCAAAAATTTAACATTTCCGCCACTTTGAGCTCAGTTTCAAGCCATTTCCAGTGCTAAAACCAATCAAAATTATCTCTATTTATGTAATATGTCTTCCATTCTATCAAATGAGACCAAGAAATCACAAATACAACAAAAAACATACGAAAAAACACTGCAAAGTCGCTGTTTTAATCGAAAATCACGGTCCCAGTTTTTTTTTCTCTCATTATACACAGTGTGCTGCAGGATTTGTTTTGTGGTGCACACATACCACATAGATGTATTCTCTCATATCTAGGCCCAAATTTACCACTCACAGTTTATCAGAGTGAGCTGAGCTCATGACGTAGATCTACGGTTTGGACCCTGAACGTAAAGCCGTAGATCTACGGGACGGACCCTGAAAGGGTTAAACGGTCCAAACGTATACATGTACTATATGCGTTCTCTCGCGTAGCGCCTCAAACGTATATGTACGTTTCTTTTGTCATTCATTCAACATTGGCATGATAGGCCTGAGTCGCCTAGACATGAGAGAATGGGTGTGCACACTCAGTGTGCACCATATGAAAAAAATTGGGGACGACTGGGTACCACATGCTCCTTTTTCCTATAAAAAAAACTATTTTTTTTCTCTCAAAATATTCGGGGCGCTGTGCGAGAGAACGTATATATATGTTTGCACCGTTTAAGAGTTAATGGAATGTGCCTTGAGCAGATCTCAAGAACCACAGAGTTTATTTTTTCTAGGCAAAGGTTCGGATCTGTGTTGTTTAGGATATCTTCCCAACTTGTTTCATTTAAGACATAGTTGACTTGTTCCCATTGTATGTTTGTTATTGAAATTGAATTTTGTGAAGAAACCCTTATGACTGATCACATTTTGCTGGTCAGGAGCCCTGTGCATACATGTCTATACATCTATTACATGTATATTGTGATCTGAGTGTATTATCTTTGATACAGTTATATTATGTATCAGATCGTCGTTGTTAGTGAAGATTTGGTCCAGCATATTTTCTAGTCTTGGAGGCTCTAATATTTGCTGGTTTAAGGTGAATTTTGTGCAGAGATTTAACCCTTTCAGGGTTTCGGCCGTACTAGTACGGCTTACGCGCCAGGGTTTTTGACGTACTAGTACGCATAAATTCTAGCGCCCTCAAATCTAGCAAGAGAAGCTGGTAGGCCTACATATGAAAGAATGGGTCTATGTGGTCAGTGTGTGCAGTATAAAAAAAATCCTACAGCACACAGTGCATAATGAGAAAAAAAAAACTTCGATGGTGTTTTTGGCTTAAAACAGCGACTTTGCAGTTAATTTTCGTAAGTATTTAGGTGTATTCTAGTTTTCCTGGTCTCATTATAGAAGGAAGACATATTACAGAAATTGAGATGATTTTGGATTGGTTTCACAATGAAAGTACCTTGAAATTGAGTCTCAAAGTAGCAGAAATGTTCGATTTTTGTGCCAAAGTTCATAAGTTAAAACAAACATGCACGCGTCCTAATACATGTCAACTGGTGAATCTAATATTCGTTTCCTCCTGTGTGATGAAGGTTCCTTTTGGCATTTTCTTCCAAAAACAAGCTGTTTCGTCACAATTAAACACTTGTTCAGGTTTGAATTCTCACTGTCTATGTACCCCTTAAAATCCGTACAAACTTCTCAGCCGCCCTTTGTCTGAACTGCTGCCTCATCATGTCTTACACATTGTGTATGCCACTACGCTTCTTAAAATCGGTCAAACCAGCCGCTGCAGGCCTAAATTCACTATCATACTGTTTCAGGAGTTTTCTGTACCAGATCGGCTGCAACGTTCCTTGCCTTTCGCAAAGAATTCGTCTCTGAAACAATATTCACCTGCAATCTCTGATCCTTGTCCACACCATCATCAACTTCTCCAAACCTCTTCAACTAGTTGTGGTCTTTTTTGGTTAGCACATTAACGACCTTCGCAGCAATCAACTTCCTTGAATTTGTCTTTCTTGAACAAAGAAGCGATGGGTGACTTGTTTTTCCCATACATCCTGCAAGATCAACAGTCTCACACCACTTCATACTTCTGAATTACTTCCTTCTTCACATCTATGTGTTTCTCCATCACTTACTTTACCCTGGGGTACCACGAGCAAGTTTCGTTGGGTCCAATGCAGCTTACTTCACAGTTGCACAAGCACTAAACACAACGAAATAAGTTAAATGTGTGAATGAGAGCGCAGGTTAGTGTTCACTCAAGCATAAACAAAGCTAGACTGCTCCATGGCACCTGCTCGGTGGATGAGGACAGAGCAGGGCTGCAGACAGGTGCCGACCCGGTGGTCCGAAAATAGGAGGCGCGTTCGATAATAGGGACACAGTTTGTCCGCAAAAATGGTCCTCTTTTCAAAACGTTCGATATGTGATACGTTCGATTTTGGAGGTTCCCACTGTGTGTTTGTGTGTGTGGGTAGATAATATAATATATTTATATATATATATATTTATAGATATATATATATATATATTTATATATTTTATATATATATATATATAATATTATAAAATATATAATATATATATAATATATATATATATATATATATATATATAATATATATATATATATATATATATATTATATAATATATAATTATATATTTATATGTATATATTTTGATATTTATATAATTTAATATATATATATATAATATATATATATATATATATATATATTTATATATATAGATATATATAACATATGTATATATATATATAATATATATATATATAGATATATATATATATATATATAAATATATATATATATATATATATCTTTCTTTCTTTCAACACACCGCTGTATCCCACCGAGGCAGGGTGCCCAAAAGGAAAAACAAAATTCCCCTTCACAGTTAGTTAATAATATACAGGAGATGGGTTACTAGCCCCGTGCTCCCTGCCTTTTAGTCGACTCTTGCAACACGCATGGGCTTTTGGAGGAAGAATTCTGTTCCACTTCCCCATGGAGAATAAGAGGACATAAACAAGAACAAGAACTAAAAGAAAATAAAAACAACCCAGAAGGGTTTGTAGTATATTATAGTGCTTGTACATGGATGTGTAGTGTGACCTAGTGTATAGTAGAATAGCAAGACGTATCCCTGAAATCTTGCAATGTTAATGAACAGAAAAAAAGGACACCAGCATCCTACCATCATGTAAAACAATTACAGGCTTTTGTTTATACTCAGCTTGGCAGGACGGTAGTACCTTGCCCTGGGGCGGTTTGCTGTCTCAACCTACTACCTAGGTATATATATATATATATATATATATATATATATATATATATATATATATATATATATATATATATATATATATATATATAAGTATATATATACATACATACTTACATACATACATACATACATACTCAGGTCTCCCACAACATTTCCACGTTTTCAACTTTCGACGGGCCTTCACACTTTACGAATTTCCCAAAAAAACCCGCCAATCCCAGCCGGACCAAATTCCCAGCCGCCAAATCATATTTAACCCTTTAGGGTCTGTGGCCGTAGATCCAAGGCTTTAAACGTGAGTGTCCAAACCGGTAGATCTACGCCAAATTCTAGCGCAGTCAAATTTAGCGGAAAACGCTCATAGGCCTACAGTGAGAGAACGGGTCTGCGTGGTGGGTGTGCGCCATAAACAAAAAATCTAGGACGCGCCCGCATTGCATTGGGGAACGCCGGCTCAGTTACCCTTGTTCAACCAGCCTCGTCGCAAGTCATCTGTCACTCCTCCCGGAAAATTGGGACTCATCCTCTTCCTATCTGAATAGTTTCGACACTGCTGGAAGTGGAAATGAAGATGAAATTCACGGCGTTGATCAGTTAGTTGACCGAAAAGAATGACCAGGTTATCGAAAATATGCAGAAAACCCTGACGATCTCTCAACTCTTCTACCTCTGGTGGGGCACTCGTACTCAAAGGTCGTCTTTCCTTCCTCATCGCAAGAGAAAACGAATATTTTCCGCGTGCAGACTCTGACTTCAGTATGATGATGAT